AAGAGCTACATCTTCCTACTACATCCTAACCACAAGTCCATCATGCCCTTTTCTCTGTATTCCAGTATGGAATCTGTGTCCAAGATAATCATATCCTCAATACAAACTCAGATTTTTCAGTCTCTAGTATCTAGTTATCTGGGCCACAGCTTTCCTGTGCACCAAGTAGTGGCAACAGCACAAACATGCAGAACCTGCATGCAGGAACTTTCACCTCATCTTGAGTTTAGAAAGGACTTAAAAGCAAGAGTTTAATACATTGAAGGCAGTACAAAGCAAGAGGTTCATCCCAAGAGAAATATGGGATTTCAAGTGAAATGCCTTCATAGTCAAAGGAAAGCCACATAAAACTACATGCCTTGGGTTGCAAAATCACACCAGAGTCTTCATCCTTACATGACACTGCAGGCCTGCTAAATCCAGAAACACAGGATGAATTAGCTTAGCAATAGCTGAACAGAGACCCAAAGCTGACTGACCATTCTAATTCTGAATCCCTAGCACAAATAAGCCAACATCTGTGTCATACATGTCAGGATGGGAACAACTGTCATGGCCACAGTAGGTCAGTTAGCATTAGGAGCTATAGCCTATCAAACCATGCATGTTAATAGGCTTTGTATTTGCAGAACATCAATGAAAAACTTTACAGTTAGTTGTTACTTAGGATTCTGAAGTTCACTGTCTCTCATGGTGTCTGGAAACAGAAAACTACTGAATTTTTAAGTTCATAAGGATTTCACAAAAATATTTAGTCTAACATATGAAATACATATTAAAGAAAAAAAACTCACCTCTTGCAATATTGTTGCAGGAATGTTGTGCTAAAGGCTTGAAAAAATGATATAGGCTAAAAACAGATATTCTAAAAATAAGAGGACTGCCAAGCTATCAAACTAAAGGAGTCACAGGTAGATTTAAACATATCTACAGTTTACAGTAGTATGCCACAAAGGAACAGAGTCAATTCAAGCCAGTGATGTCTTTTAAGGACAGTTACAGTTAGAAACGTCTTTTAGACAGTTACAATTGAAAATGCAGAATTTTAAACAAAGAAAATTGAAAAAGCCAGTAGCATTGGAATGTAGTTAGAAGTTAAAGCCCCTTGAAGATCCTGCTTACCCGCTAGAGTCCACATCCTAAACACATACCCAAAACAATGCCACTGCTTTGCTTCAGCTTCCAAAATTTCATTCATTGGATCAAGAATCTGAAAGAAGCCAAGATATCTGGGAATCACATGCCCCAGGCCTGCAGCAGCTGAATTAAGAGACTAAGGTTAAAAGTGGAGGAAGAACTTTAAAACACTTCCTTCTCCAAATTAAATTTTCCATACCAACCTATATAAGGAAGACACAATTTGTCAATACTTAGAGGGCGGAGCCCACTGCTGGCAGCAAGTTAGATGCAGATAAAAGGGAAGTGGCAAGGCAAATCGTTAGCCCTATCAGTTGCAACCAATTGCTCTTCTGAACAGGTTCCAAATAACTGAAGTATGTCAGATTTTAGCTATTCTCTTATTCTATACTTGCAAACAGAAATCTTCCCTGGAGAGGGTGAACATGGTAGAGAAGTATCAATTCCAAAACAGGTTCAAAAACTTACAAGAAGAAACAGAATACTGATTCAGTGTTAATATTGCTCAAGAGACAGAAAAAAACCATGAAGAGTCCAGGCTTAATCCAATATTAGTGCAAAATTAGTTCAAAAATTTTTTTCTAGCAAAACTGCTTTGTGTTAGTTAAGACGTTCACCAAAGAACAGTACAGTAGGAAGGATTTAATTGCTTATCTCAGCTTCCATATCCATATTTAATCTTTAGATGATATGGAATCTCTAGGAAAACTACAAAAAGATCACAAACTATTATTTTAACTTCACAAAATATTTAGATTTTCCTTCCATTTGTTTAATTGTTAGTTTTAACTTATTTCTCATCTTTGTTTCCACTAAACCTTTAGATCTCCAGACTAATTGTGGTACTTTTGAGGAGAACTTGATTACATTTTCAGATTGAGAACTGAGGGTAGCATGGAAAAGCAAATGAATTATTTTTATTTTCAGAGGGAATCTCTTGGAATGAATTATTTTAAGAGATTCTCTCATGAAAGCCACACACCCTAAAAAAAAAAAAAAAAAACAAAGTATTTAACACTTCCCTTTCTTTCCTAGGATTCAGATAGACATACAAGGGCAGATTAGACACAGGAACAACAGACAGGCATGCAGAGCCCCATATAATTATTTTTAACACTATTAAGAGCAGTTTTTTTCCTTAAACATGCTCCCATTCCCATACCACAATGTAGCTTTACTTATAGCTACATTTATAGCCCAAAGCTATAAACTCTGCGCAGAGGCATGGTGACAGCGACTCAGCCCTGGGACCACATCCTGAGGTGATTCGGGCAAAGACAGCCATGCCGACACTCCTTGGTTGATGGGCCATGGTACTGGCGCCACCAGGACGGACACCCTGGCAGCCCACCTGCTCCCGCACCTACGGGCCTGACGCAGAAAGACACAAAGATAACGATGGATCACTGCACACGAGTATCTGCAGGCACCCTCCCGTGCCCGAACGTGCTCCTTCCTACAGGCCCACACGGAGCTGCTCTTCCCGCCGAAGCAGGCGCCAGCAAGCTCTCCTTCTCCTCCGTCCGCAGGAGAACGCCTGCGGGTGACTGAACGCCCCCGAGAGCGGCTCTCGCGCACCCGCAGTTACGCGGCCGGCAGCCAGAGCCGTTCTCCCAGCGCGAGAGGGGTTGTGGGCACATGGCGTGAGGAGGAAGGGCGTCCTTTGATGCGCAGAACTAGGCCTCCCCAGGACAACGATGGGAAACCTGAGGCCGGGGCTTGAGCCCCCGTGTCCGTGGAAGGAAATGAGCCACGAAGCGGGCACCGCGAAGCAGCAAAATCCCCCGCGTACGCCGCTTACCCGCCTCCCGGCCAGCTTGGGCGAGCCCGTGCACATGCGCAGCACCCCGCCCGCCGCTGTCGGAGGTAAAGCCCGCGCTGGCGTGCCCTCGCGCGGCACCGGGACTCGGGGGTGGGGCCGCGACCCCACCTCTCGCGGGCGCTGCCAGCGGCGACTGAGCGAGCGCGCGTGTCTGTGTGCGGTGCGTGCGGCTCCCGTATCCCTGCGCGGGACCGAGAAGACGAGCGAGGCGTCTCGCTGAGGCTGCCGCTCCAGCAGCGCCTGCGCCGGGAGCTTTGCTCGCGGGCCGGGGTCAGGTGCACAACGTCTTTTGCCCTTTCGGGCGATGTTGGGCTTTTACGCGTCCGTTCCCTGTGTACGATTAATCGCGGGTGAATCCGAAGGGCGGGGATTCCACTGGGCGGCTCAGGGAGGCCCCAGCGTGAGTGAGCGACGGGCCGCGGGCTGGTCTCTTCCTTGTGCGAGGCCGGGGGAGGCCGGCACCGCCCTGCGGCCCCTCTGGGGAACCGCAGTCCAGCTCAGGGTTTGGTGGGAGCTGAGGGTGAGCCGGCGACCTGCGGCCCGGGAGGTGAGGGCGGGGGAGGCCTTCCCGGCGGCGCGCGGGGGAGGGCGCGGGCTGCGCACCCCGGCGCTTTGTGCGAGGC